AATGGAAGAGGGAAGTAGACGTAGGTAATGTGACACTTTCAAACCTTCAATGACATTAGTAATGTCAAAATTACAGGTATGGTTGTAAATAAATAGGATTTTCAAACCATTTGGAACTGTAAAGATTGATAATCTGTGTATCGTAACCTCACTTTATACTTGTTATAGAATTCGGTCGAAGTCTGTTTGAATTATTTCTAAGCAGAAATGGAAATCATTGAAAGATCGTCGATGATCTGGCCAATTATTTTACTGTGGATAAGACAAAATACAGATGGAGAAGATTTATTAGAGTTATACATGTTTCATATATAGGGGGAGGCATACCTATACCTGCAGAAAAGAGGTTGATAATGCTGTTATGGTGGTTGGGCAAAGGTAACACTCTTTTGTTGGATGAAATTATTGGTTTACAGCATAACTACATTACCTGGCCAAATCATAATGAAATAGAGACTGTTACAAATGAGTTTTATCGAAGAGGTAATATACCAGGTTAGTATGTAGATACTAGGGANCAAGCTCCTTGCTTTTTTGAAACGCCAGAATATAGGCTTTAGGCCCAAGAAATCTACTACCTTTACCAGACAAAATATAGAGGATTTTCTAAGCACCCCAAGAATTCCTTCCTATCAAGGTGAAATTTTCTTTTTAATTTTTTCTATTTGGTTTTAATTATTTTTTATAATTATTTTAGGTTGAGCTTATAATAGGTGTATCTGGAGCATGCCGCACTGATGAATTATTTAAAATGAAAACTACGCATATTATTAGATATTAGAAAAGAAAATTTCTATTGAAATTCATGATCACTGAAATAAACTGGATAAAAATTGTGAAAGAATTTATCCAGGTACGGATAGATATAAAAAATGAGATTTTTTGTTCAATATCGATCGGGAAGAGCTCGAAATCAGCCTCTTGGATACAAATCTATCTCTAAATTTCCTTATAAAATAGCCTGCTTTTTAAAACTTCCTAAGGCAGAAACGTACACAGGTCATGCTTTTAGAAGAACGGCAGCTACGTTGCTGGTTAATAGCGGAGCAGATATTCTTCAGTTGAAGCGCTTAGGGGGCTGGCGGTCTAGTNATATAAATTATTTATATACCACCAAAATTAATCAGTATGTCTATAGAAACAACAATGAACGCTTCGCAATTAATAGTTCTGCAAACCCTTTTGAAAAGTTCGCTAATTATACAGCGATAATTCAAAAGAGGTGTTTATTAATATTGGAGGTGTATCATAATATTAATATGCGTCATTTTATTGTTTTGACACCATTCAAAATTGTGCAGGTTGCGTTGAACAAACATGTACAGGTGGCAAGGCCATGCCTAGCAACGATGCATGACAGATACAAACAATTTTGAATTCTCGTTCGATCCTTCAAATTTGCGGCTGAAAAAATGTTGTCAGATAGCGAGAGTGAAGATTATTTGCCAGACGGAACTCCACCAGAACTAAAACAAGCTGCTGAAAAAGCAGANCTGGCGCTCTTCTTGCTTCGCCGGCTCGTCTGTGTAAACCCCGGGGGTAGTGTCATGTTTATGTGTGGTACGGTTGGGTAGGGTAGTGCGGCTATGCAGCCTGGGATGCGCTTTGCTAAGGTGAGACCTAGACACCAACTTTTTGACCCTGGGTGACCACCCCAACGACTCCCCCCCCCCTGCCCGCTAATCTTTTCTGTTTCAGAGATAGCCAGTATCAAGAAACGAAGTCAACGACACACACACACACACATACACACCCCCCATAGCCTCCTTTCCCCTCCCCCACCCCGCGCTGCGCTAAGGGCCACCTTAGCAAAGCGCGTCCCAGGCTGCATAGCCGCACTACCCTACCCAACCATACCACACATAAACATGACACTACCCCCGGGGTTTACACAGACGAGCCGGCGAAGCAAGAAGAGCGCCAGAAGAAAGGGCCCTAGCCGGCGGGGCCCAGCCAGGACAAAAGGAGGTCCCACAAAGCGCCTACACCGGCCGCATTTGCGGTCGGGGTAGACGATGGATGGGGCCCACCTACGAAGGCTGTCCAGGCCTACACGAGATGAGGCAGGATAAAGAGGGATAATCCCCCTCGATCCCAAATCATTGAGGCCAATTTCTAGCCATGGAATAATGGCGCGCGGTTGCGCACTCGTCGAAGCTCATTCTCCCCTACTCCATAGCTGTTTTCTCGCGAGCAGAATATTTCAAAACGTCTTCAAAACTGGTTTAAAATAATTTCAATGTGACGTCATAATTTCATAGCGCAAGAAAATAGGATTTTCAAACCATTTGGAACTGTCATGATTGATAATCTGTGTATCGTAACCTCACTTTATACTTGTTATAAAATTCGGTCGAATTATTCTGTTTGAATTATTTCTAAGCAGAAATGGAAATCATTGAAAGATCTTCGATGATCTGGCCAATTATTTTACTGTGGATAAGACAAAATACAGACGGAGAAGATTTATTTCCATCTATACTTGAAGTAATGGAACATACACGGCCCGCGGGATATTGTGAAATGTGGCTGCCAAATTATTTGAATTATGATTTTTTTCAACTCTTCAGAATGAGCAGAAAAGCTTTCCAGAAATTGAATGGAAAGATTAGAGTTATACATGTTCCATATATAGGGGGAGGCATACCCATACCTGCAGAAAAGAGGTTGATGATGCTGTTATGGTGGTTGGGCAAAGGCGAGACACTTTTATCAGTTTCTGATAAATTTAACGTTGCTTTGTCAGCCGTTCACAAAAGTAACACTCTTTTGTTGGATGAAATTATTGGTTTACAACATAACTACATTACCTGGCCAAATCATAATGAAATAGAGACTCTTACAAATAAGTTTTATCGAAGAGGTAATATACCAGGTTAGTATGTAGATACTAGGGAAAGCAGTGGTCTTAAAGACGTACATACCAGAACGTTTAGTAAATTCTGTAAAAAATTTAGTAATCTATCATTGGATATCTTTATCTTCTTGTTGTTAATTTGATATTCTATATGATGTGAATTTAATTTTTAGGAGTGGTCGGGGCAATAGATGTAGCTAACATAAACTTTAAAGCGCCGACGGAGCAGCAAGAGAGCTATATTGATAGAAAAATGCAGCACAGTATTAAGTTGCAGGGTATATGCACCTCTGACAAAATTTTTACTAATATAGTGGTGGGCTGGCCAGGTTCTGTTCATGATAGTAGGGTGAGTAGCATTATATATATATATATATATATATATATATATATATATATATGGGTTCGGAAAGTACAAATGGTAAATCTGTAAGTCTTATGTTAAAGCAGCTAGACAGAGTAGAGATTGTGGTATCGATTGGTTTTACACAGACGTTTTAAGTAGTAACTGGATGCTGAATGGCTACAGCCATCATTGTTTACCGCACGATTTTCTATCGCTTACCTTGTTCTTCTGACGTAAGCGCCCATTTACCATGTGCACTTTCAGAATATGTATATTTATTACATAAAAGGCAATATAAAATATTTAATTTTTTCTACTGCAGGTTTTCCAAAATTGTGAAATCTTTAGGAAAGTATCCAATAACATAGAGAGGAACAAATATTTTCCTACATTGGAGCATCATCTGGTGGGGGACTCAGCATATCCGTTGCTTGATTATATGATGACTCCATATAGGTAAGAAAAAATATATACGGCTTGTCCAAAAATACTCTTACTATATGTAAATTTTCTTATCAATCGTTAACTTCATTAAGTAGGAATTTTAGGAAGTCACTGTTTTTTGTTTTAAATAAAAAATTTTAAATTACATGTAATATAGTAAGTATTTTTGTACACAGGCTTGTATAAGAATAAATTAACTTAATATTATTCCTCTCATCACTTTTAATTTTAGAGATAATAGAAATCTTACGGTAGAGCAAAGAAGATTTAATTACTTACACAGCAAAACACGTATTGTTATAGAACATACGTTTGGAATTCTAAAATCTCGATGGAGAATATTAAAATATATAAATGTTAACACAGTAGAGAAAGCAGTAAAAATCATTGTTGCTTGCTGTGTTCTTCATAATTTCTGTCTTGTCTCTGGGGATGCCTGGGAGGAATACAATGAAGTTGAAGATAATAACATTAATGTATTTCATAATGTACAAAACGTTGTAAACAATTTTGCTGTAGATAAAAGAAATCGAATTGCACAGATGTTGTAAAGAAACTCTTTTATCTACAGCAAAATTGGTATTGCTTTTACCTTTTATTGTAACTTTTAAAATTATAGAAAAATTTAAAATATTAGTACCATCTATACTTTCTCTCTTATATTCCGTCCCATTTTCCTTCAGGTAGGTACATAAATAAAATATGCAATAGCTACGTAAAAAAATATGACAACATATTTTATTCCTAATTTATTTATATCTACATAAAACATTCATAACTTCAGGAAACACGTTTTTATTACTTAGGACTAAACTAAACTAAATAACTTCCATTTTTTAACAAAAAATATATCTAGTGTTTTAATTGCACAGAATACTTTCATTATATACAGGGTGTCCCGTAAGTACATGCTCATATACATGTGATTTACGACGTCAAAGTAATGCGATCTAGCCAAACTCGGTTATTATCAACTTTTGGACAAAGATAAATTTGACCAGATTGCATTATTTTCATGTCTATCACCTGTTACTCTATGTACACATACTTACGGGACACACTGTATATTATTTTAATCTTTCTAATCACTTTCACTGTCGGTATCTCTCTTCCTTTTCTCACCAGAACGCTTTTTTTTATTAAGTAAAGCCATCACCTGAGCATGACGTTGCCTGCTTTCTTCTCTTAATAATTCAACCAATGTAATAAATTCCTCCTTGCGTTGTTCCAAATTTTCTTTGTGGATGTTTTTTATGACGTCAACCACTCGCTCCTTTTGGGGACGGCAACTTTTCTTAATTTCCATAAACCTGTTCGAGGTTGTAGGTGTTGAAGATTCACAACTTTCTCTGTCGCTCACAGTATGGGGCATCTTTGCTTTTTGTTTTTTTGTACTACATGGTGTTTCTTCACTTTTATTTTCCTTGTCACTTTTTTCATTGTCAGTCAATATTTCTGAATCTACAACTACAGGTGGACAAATTTTATGTTTGTCACCCAAAATTTCATTCATTTCAGTATAATATGGTGGTGTATCCACAGCTCCCTCACCAGTTAATTTTCGTTTTTGAATAAATTTCAAATATGACGTTTGCAAATTAGCAAATTTTTGTCGCACTTTTTCACGGCCATCTGTGCCTTTGCCTACGTAATATCCCATACTATTCATGTGGTCTGCAATTTTATGCCATATAACATTTTTTCCACTCTTTTTATCCATAAAATCTTTATCAAATTGTTTCCGTAGATCTAAAAGAACCAAAGTAGCGTCATGATCCTTTTGTGATTGTGTCTTAGAAGTTTTCCACAGTTCACAAGTTTGTGACCTATCTGCAATTGGAATATATGAGGAAGTCATTGGAGGTGCTGTAGACATGGCTGTGGTTGTTGCCGTTGAGGTGGCTGCATCCCACGAGACATTTTTCCCAAGCTCAGATATTTTAGTAGCTGTTCCTTCTGCCATCAAGCCGCAATCATTAAGTATGGTGCTCGACACAAAGGCTGAACTGGTAGTTCCTTAAATAAAATAGAACGCCTGTAAAATTAATAATTACTACTCTTTACAGCGCAAACTTACCATTGCTTTCTATTATTTCGCAAAGAATTTCATCTTTATCATTTCTTATTAACGTGCCATTACTGTTACATAAAAAACCTTTAAATACAAAGTGATTAAAGGTTTCCATTATTAATCTCGGACGAAATAAACAACATAACATAACCCAACAATTATTAAATGAAACGTCATAAACAAACGAGAGAACGCATGCGTCCATTTCGAAATCAAGATGAGATCCTGGTTCCAAACTGTTTGAACCAATTTCGATGTGACGTCACGGGTTCATCGCAAGAAAGCACTATTTTGAAACAGTTTCGAACCAGTTTTAAAAAAGTGATCGCGAGAAAACAGCCCATATCTCTGGCCATAACCCTATTTTTTGTGCCATATCCACAGATTAGGTCAAAATAATAAATCTTTTATCTGTGGGTCATAACCTAATGGAAGGAAATGTATTCCTGTTATTTACAAATTTATAAGGAATTTACTATTATATATTAAATATGCAGGTTTCTGAACCGAATAATGTAAAAATTTATAATTTGAGTGTTGGAAAGTCTTTGCCAGAGGTAAGTTAAATTATGAAATGAATTTTAAATTTAATTTGTCTTTTATTAGTGGTTGTCGGAACGTAAAAGGAGGGCTTTACTGAAAAAAGATGTAGACCTTAGGAGACGAATTGAACTTATTCAAGATTTTGATATGCCAGGTCTCAGCACAACTGTTAAAATGTCGAGAGATGGACAATATATTTTTGCCACTGGTATATACAAACCTAGAATAAAATGTTTTGATGTAAATAATTTATCTTTAAAATTTGAAAGATGTTTTGATTCAGAAGCTGTTACGTTTGAAATACTTAGTGATGATTATAGTAAGGTAACACATTTAATGTAGCAAATGTATGAATATATATTTTTATAAAAAAATATTACGATTTTAGTTTGTCCTACTGCAGTGCGACAGGTATATAGAATTTCATGCAGCTTACGGAAGATATTACAGACTTCGAATACCAAAATTTGGTCGAGATATGCAATACCATTATCCCAGTTGTGATTTATTCGTTGTTGGTGCATCTTCTGATATCTATAGGTTAAATTTAGAAAGAGGTCAATTCATGGCACCTTTCACTAGTAACTCCTCATCGATTAATAAATGTTCCATAAATCCTGACCACCATTTATTAGTATGTGGAACACAGGAAGGAAAAGTTGAGGCATGGGATCCTAGAAGCAAAACTATGGTGGGAAGTCTAGATAGTGCCTTTAACTGTATTAATGAAAACAAACAGTAAGTATAAATATTGCAATACATATAGCTGGGAGAAGTTACCATATAGAGTTATAATTCTTAACTTGCACAATGAGCTATGGCGACCTATGGATGGAGCCTACATGAGCTATTTCAAAACTTGAGCCATAACAGATGTGAAATATTTAAGAAATGTTTTATTGCTGTAATAATGTCTCTGAAAAACTCGAACTGGTACTGATGACAAAATAACGACCCAAAATAGGCCAAAAAACGTATCAAAGCACAAAATTCTTTTTGATGTTATCGTTGACGTTTATCTCCATCTTTTTTTTAAACATTGTTAGTCAGTCGATACAAGTAGGTCAGTTAAATTAAAATGGCACACAGGAAACATATATTCACATTGTATAAATAATATGTATTGTTAACAACCTGAATTAATATAGTTTAGAACTTAAAATATAATCAAATTAAATAATACTCGTATATTATAATCCAATATCACGTTTATTAAATATTTTTATATATTTGGAATGTCTCTGGGGAATGTTTCTAAACCTGGAAAGAAAGGTACTAGTCGCAGTAGCAAATTTTTGTACTTGTGTCGAAACAGAATGACAAACTTGAAATAATATATCATTCGCATTCCTCAGTTGGCAGTTTCACAGCAAGTTTCCAATTAATAATACATATTGATGTTATTGGCATTTTTTTTGAAATTTTTATCAGTATTAATTTCAGTAGAATTGAAAAACTGAGCTGTCAACAAAAAGGTTGTATTGCGCTTATACTATATAAATGTTCATATTTAAAAAAAATTATAATTGTTATTTACATTATAGTATATTTTTTAATATCATTTAAGAGAAAAATGTATTATTGGCAACACTTTATTCACTTCATTTCACCTCACGAAAGTCAAAAATATATTTTTTATTTTGATTCTTCTTTTTTTTAACAGCAATGAGTTTTTCATTAAACAAAATAAACTTTATTCAGTGGTAGAAACCCAAACATTTTAAAATTTGTATCACTTGACAAATTTATTTGTTACTTTTCAAAGTAATATATTAATTTATTACACACTATGTCAGTTGCTACATACAACTAATTTTAGACAAAAAAAATAAGTACAAATTATAAAATCGAAAAACTTCCTTTTGAAGAAAGCTGCAAAAAAAGTTAGGAAAGGCTGTTATGCAGAAACTGTTATCGTCATTAAACATTTACATTTATTTATAATTTATGTAAAGCTGTGGATATTATTACGATATAGGGTTACCAAATGTGAAACATGTAAAGAATGACAATTGTATCAAAAAAGGATGACTTTCAATGAAAAAGGAGGACTTTTTTGAACATTTTATTTTACTTTATTAGGAAAATGAAAGATACTTGTAAACACAAGTGAACTTAAAAAACATTGCATTTTGCATATATTGCGTTAACAAATGGAACAAAAACTTCATAAAATATGTTGCGGGCATCCTTACATTCACTCCGTAGCCGCAGAATGTTATTGTTGATTATCCAAGGATAATAGTATTGTTAAGATTGTGATTTTTGATTGAAAACTAATCATGCTAATCTTGATTAAAATATTAAAAATTTTCAAGTAAGTGTTAGGTGCAGCAATTTTTATTGATACTATTTTTAAAAAGCCGGACAGAGGGGAAATCCAGCCGGACAATTAAATTTTCTTTAAAAAGGAGGACATGTCCGGCTTTATCCGGACGAATGGTAACCCTATTACGATATATATTTTAATTAGTTACAATATGGAATTTGCAATTAAATTTCAAGTAACATTTTAAATTTGTTTACAAAATGCGGTAGAAACTTCACACACTGACATCTATAGCAATAATGCTATAATTAAAAACATTTATATGAATATCATTCAAACGGAATATGTAAATTGAGAATCGCAAAAGTTTCCTAAAACTGCTTAACTATTTTAATAATGGTACTGGAACTCTATATGATACGAGTATGAACTCTGTATGAACTTGAAAGTCAAAATTAAGTTAAATTTTGTCCACCATAACCTACAAAAAATACACTTGCAAACTTTAACAATTTTTACTTTTTAGATTGGAAGGTTTTCCTTCTGTATCTGCATTAAAGTTCAATGGCGGTTTAGAATTGGCAGTCGGAACATCAACTGGTCAAATATTATTATATGATATAAGGTCGAATAAACCATATTATATAAAGGATCACATGTATGGCTTACCGATAAAAGATGTAGATTTTCATCAAGAACAAAACTTGATATATTCCCTAGATAGTTCTATCTTGAAGATCTGGGAAAAAAATAATGTAAGTAATCGTTGAACGAAAACTTATGTAATCAGTAATGTAACTTTACAATTCTCTGTTTTATTGTTGTAACTATTTTTTACAAAAATTATTTTTTTAGTGATGTCCATTTGATTTTTTTAGGGAAAATTATATACATCTATAGAAGCATCAACGGAATTCAATAACCTGTGCACTATTGCTAATTCAGGTCTATTTTTTCTTGCAAATGAAAATACAAAAATACAGACATACTATATACCTTCCCTGGGTCCAGCACCCAAATGGGCTAGCTTTTTGGATTCACTTACTGAAGAACTCGAAGAAAAGAATTTTGAACATGTCTATGACGATTATAAATTTGTAACTAAAAAAGAACTTGAGACATTGGGATTAGAACATTTAATAGGAACAAACTTACTTAGGGCTTATATGCATGGGTACATTTTTAGTATTTATTCACATATTTTTAAGTTTTTTAATTATACTGAGGCTTATCCACAATGTAAGAATACTCAATTTTTTTTAAAACGAAACGACAGTATATTTATGAAAAATTATTTCAACCACAATGCGCTTTGTAAGTAGAGGGATGAGCTTTATGTTCCAACAGAATGAATCCAAGAGCTCCTTTGTGGCATTGTCATGCAACAAGTGCACTCCCTTCGTTAACATTTCCTTGCATTTGTTCCATATCGCCCTCCGTAATGTTTTAGGGATTCACAGTACTGCCCAAGAATAATTGTTTCCCGCTTTGGCAAAAAATCTGAGGAGAATCCCTTTAATCCCAGAACACAGTTGCCATGACTTTTCTCCTTTGTTCATCATGAACATTTGTTCTGCCAGCTATGTACTTACGATACCACTTTTACACATTAGTACAATATATCACACCTTCCCCATAAACTGTTTAGATTTCGTTAAAAGTCTGAAATGGTGGCTTTCCCTTTGCAAGAAGAACCCAGATTATGCTCCCCACCTAGTAGGTGGCGGAATTCATTTCAACAAGCCACTACAGCAACAGTTCTCAATTGACTGAGACAAATAAGCGTGCATTCTGCTCCCAATACCTTGGCCTTGAATGCAGTGTGGCCAACTTTGTTGAAAATAAAAACCACAATAACAGAGTCTCGGTACTCTTACTTTGTGGATATGCCTCGTACATACTCATTTTACACTTATGTTTATACATGACATTTTAGGTATTTCATTGATGTACGACTGTATAAAAAGGCTAAATCAGTGGCTAATCCATTTGAATATGAAGAATATCGAAAGAGGAAAATAAGAGAAACTATAGAAAAAGACAGAGGAAATAGAGTACAACTGAATAATCTACCGAAAGTTAATAAAGATCTTGCTCTTAAACTTATGGGTGACCAAACGAAAAAGAAAAAGAAAGAAAGCCAATCGCTTCTTAAAGATGACAGGTTTAAATCGTTGTTCGAAGATCCTGATTTTGAAGTTGACAAAAATGCAGATGAATATAGATTACTTAATCCTGTATTATCGAGGTTGGACAGTTCTAAGAAAAAAGAGTTAAAGAAACAAATCATAACGCAAGCGTTTGAACCGATAGAGGTAATAGTAGGGTTTATTTCTTTATACAAGTATTCTGTGTTGACACTAGGTCAAGATAAATAGTAAATAGTAAAAAGTTATGTTTAAGACACACTTAATTTCTGTTTAATTTTTGGTGAACAATATTTTAAAATACATTTTTTCGTATTTTTATAAAAGGACAAATTAGAAGACAATAAAAATTCAGAAGAATCTTCTGATGATTTTGAAAGTGAAGAAGAAAGCTCTGAAGATGAACATACATGGACACGTGAAGTTAAAAAGCAGCACCGTATTATACAAAGAGAACATAGGGAAAGAGAGTTACGAGAAAGCCAGGAAATGGAGGATAACGTACAAGAAGAGGTTAATAAGAAACAACCTAAACTTTTCGAACTTAGACAGGGAGAAGAATTTAAAGGGCTTCACAACTTCAAGAAAAAGCTTAACAAGTAAGTATGAATGGGTTTTGGCTACTGACATAAAATTCAAATTCAAATATATTTTAAAATTATTACTATAGTAATAATAATAATAAATAAAATTATTTAGTGTCATAACATCAACGTTGAAATTAGAGACCGACCGAATGTGATTTTTTTGGCCGAAGATGAAGCCTAAGCCGAACTTCGGTTTATGGGTCTCCTTTGGCCAAAGCCGATGCCGAAGACGAAGATATTTTTATTAACTTGAAAATTTTAATTAAAAACAAAAATATGATAAAATAACATAAAAGTAGGTAAAAAATAAATGCATAATGTATTTTGGAAATATAATATATATATATATATATATATAATTGTAGCGTTCTTGCCGACTGTATACTACTAGATTGTATTTAAACGAGGTATTGATTTTTAAGACATTTTTTCAGCACACACACACACAGCTATATATGTATTTACAAGGAATAGAAAAGGTATTCTAATAAAAACATGAATAACGTACAGAGCACGACAAATACAAAGACATCCATTAAATTACTAAGGGAGCGAAAGAAATAATTTTCATTTGCCACAATAATAAACAACAATAAATAAAACAACAAATTCTAATAACAAACATAAAACATAACGGGTAACGGATATTCTAAACAAGATATAGAAAAATAAAAAGCATGACTGTCGAATGTCGATGCGATGGTCGACGTCAACGGCTCCGGCGAAAAGTTCGGCTTAATTTTGGGCAAAGCCGATTCTTAGCCGAAAGCTTAAATAATGGCCGAATGTGGCCGAAGCCGATTAATCGGTCGGTCTCTAGTTGAAATGGTTTTGTTTTCTTTTTAATATTTATATTGTCTATAATTTTTTTTTGAAATTTTTAATTACATTTGTTTTTTATTTAAATGGAGATTTTTAAATAAACAATCCCTTACACCAAAAGGATCGATCAAGGGGTTGATTTAAAAAATTTAGTTTTATCTAACCAGAAATATTTCAGTGACAAAATAGATTGTGCATGACAGTTGCTACTTACTCTACTTATATAAAATCAACCCATAACAGCTCCTTTTGGCCCAAGGATTATTTAAAATTTATTTCTCTTTTCAGTGTGGGAGAAATACCCAATTAAAAGAAAAAGATATATTTTTTATGTTTGCATAATTTGTTATATGTAAATCGGCATTATTTTAATTGCATAAAGAACATTGATTTGCTTTTACATAATTGGAAAATTAATTTAAGAATATTTGATTAACTTTTTATCAGTTTTATTAGTGTTATAGAAAAGGGAGGAGCTAGTGTGTTATTAAGGAAAACTTGACATCCACTAGCAGTCTATAAAAATAATTATTTAATTTTTACGATATAACAGTATTCTGCTATTGACGTAAATGCAGTAGTATCGGGTGAATATTAAAATGGAGTTACAGTTGCAAAACGTTCCAATATTTTCTATAATATCTTTATAACCGAGTATAACTTCTACTTTTAATAGGTATACATTATTTGTGTAGAATAAAATTCTCTACCTATTTCTAATAATTGCGTGAAAAAATTTAAACGTACAAATAAGTTACAGAAGAATATTCACAAAGGGTTGTAGTAAAATGAACGCCCTATATGATTTAACGTAATAGAAACATAATCACTGCATACTTCATGGAGAGAAACTAAACAACAGCAAGTTTTGCTCAAATCGGTTAACTGAGTTCTGAGTTATGGAGGAAACAAGAAATTTTAACGCCCTGTAACTTTTTTTGTGACATTTTTGTTTAAGCAAGTTTGGTTAAATCGACACCATTTGGGTTGTAGATTATAACCCTTGAAGTATGTAACATTCGTTAGGTGACAACCTGTAAACAAATTTAGTTTACATTCGAGCGTAAAATGCTGAAATTTTTTTTATATTTTAATACCTTATACTTAACAAAATAAAACTAAAATAAGTTTCAGTTTCTTGTTCGCTAAAACCTTAACAAGATCAACAAATCCTTTTTTTAATTGTGGAATTATTAATTATTCTTGAGCGATAATAACCCTTAGTTATTAATTATAGATCGATCAAAATAACTCATTTAGATGGAAAAAAAAAGAAAATTGTTACCTGGACTTTCATAAGTGGAAATGGTAAAGGGGCTTATAATAAACGAAAAAAAAATAAATGCGTGTGCAGGGGCGGCGGAGGGGGGTTGGGACTTTCTAAACAGCATATTGTTAGGTATAAAAAAACACAACTTTTTTCTAATCTGAGCCACCCCGTATCTCTTACCGTTTCCTAGATCCTAATGCTATCCCATCCTTATCTTGGAATTCACTATTCGACTTATGTTTATATAGCAATACCGTTCAAAAATAGTTTTGGGTCAAACAATGAGTTTTTTTTTGTATTTTTTCCGTACAATTGAATGGTGTAATCAGTTTTTGATTTTTTTAAAATTTAAACAAATTATCAACAATTACTGAAAAATTCATTGCTGCGTTATTTTTTAATTTTTTGCATTTTTGAGCATGTTTTTGAACTGTCTAAATTTTTTTTTATTTCACCAGAAAGTATATGTCAAAACGAAAAAATTATTACCGACAGAACTCTGTACGATGATTTTTTTAAGTAGAATTTTTCTTTAAAAAAAAAGTGTCAGGCCGAAAAAAATGAATATCAGAAACTTCTTGATTTTTTATCTAAAAAAATTTGACGTTATTTAAGACAAAGAAAGGTATACTTTCACCAAGTTTCGTCAAAATTAAATTATTTTTGCGGAAATAAGAAATAAAAAACGAAAAATCAGAAAATACCTGTTTTTCGCATTTTTCGCGGAAATTTTGAGGTTATGTTAAAAAGTGATCTCTACTAAAGTTGCAGATTTTTGTATGATCTACAACTTTTGTATTGGATACTTTTTTGTTTGACGTCAACTTTCGCCAGAAATCCCAATGATACAATTTTTCATAACTTTTCAACCCCCGAAATCTACCCTCCGCCGCCCCTGCTCACGCATTTATTTTTTTTAGATTTATTATAAGCCCTTTTACCATTTCTACTTATAAAAGTCCAGGTAACAATTTTTTTTTTCTCCAAGTGTAATTTGATTGGACTATTATTACAATATCAATTTTCTTTGACTTCTAATAGCCAATTTGTTCATAGAGCAACATTGGGGGAACGACTTCAAGTAGAAGATACTTCAGTTAAATTATTAGGTTCAGTTGGAAACCGAGAAATGACTTTTTTAACACATAAAAAGAGAAATAAGTTGTTAGCTGAAAAGAATAAGAAACACAAAGAAGAGAGGAAAAGATTAGTTAGACCAACTCATGGAGTGAATCCTAAACACAAAAAATTCTTTAGTAAAAGAAAATAATTTTTATTTATAAATATTAATTATGAGGTGAAAAATATATATATATTTATAAGTTGCACTGGTATTTTATTTATTAGACCTGATCAGTTCATATTAGAGGTTATCAGAATTGGAAATATATGTTACTGTTGGATTTCTTTTATTTATCAGTTCTTTTATTGTCCTCGTAAAAACAATACCAACATGATGGGTTTTTGTGAAAACCATTTTTTACATAAGTAAGTATTAATGTGTTTGTTTATTTCAGTCACAAATTGATTAAGATGGAAATTAATCATATTATTTCAGGGGCAGAAATTAGGCACAACTTCAAAATAATGGAAATGGACCCTGATAGAACAATAAACAATATTGCATCTTCAACAAATTTGGTAAGTCTATAAACTGTATATAAACTAAAAAACATCATGCACTAGAGGTAGGTAATTGAAAATTGAAATATTGGGTTGTGATTCTTGTCAAAATCAGTGGCAATATATGTATTTAGAGAAAAATATTATATTGACACTTAAATTAATTACTAGCATTATATAAATCATATCATATCAGTTGTTTATAACATTTTATTGAAAGTTTATCAACCTCTTCTAGGTCAATATTTCTAGATTTCATATACATAGTTGACTTCCAATTAAAAAAGAAATAGGTTCACATCTATATCAGCATAATAGAAATAGGATTGATAGAATAAATACAGTTTCTATTTGGCTTAAAATGTAGGAGACATCGGAAAATCATGAAGATAAAACATTAGAGGAATGCCTAAAATTCTAAAACAAGTTATAGTTTATGTTTATCTTTATTGTTTATCAATTATAATTAGTAGTGAAAGTAGTAAGAGGCAAATTTTTCATCATCTTCCGGCATTTTTTGTGTCATAGTGATAAAAACTTAATAAATTTAAATATATAAGCTTATATACAGGGTGTTTGTTTTGTTATATACAAAATATGGTTATTTAACCCAACTTACCTTTATACTAAGCTGCACCCCTGAGAAGTTATAGGCCTTGAAAGTGTGGTTTCAAATTTCGAAAAAAATCAATATCTCAGTTATACTTGAACTTCGAAAACCCAAATTTGGTACACGGTGTGGGTATACCAAGAGCATGAATCGACAGTAAGTAGAGTTCAATTGAAGCATTTTAACCTATTTGCCGGACTTAAAAAATTATTACTTTATCTTATGGGGAATTTAATTCTAAAACTTCTCTTACTCTTGTTTGTTTTCAAAAAACTCTTGTCGTTTTCAACAAAAACACGAATAACTAATAATAAGTATTGTAACTGTTCAAAAGTTGGCTATAAATTTAAACTTCAAACTTAACGATCAGGAAAAAGTCATTTAATTTTAGTAAATGTTTGCCGAGTGTTTTGAAAATGGCCGGGCATTCATTTAGTGAACAAGTTGAGATGCTATTAGTGTTAAGTTTCTGTGAAGGAAATTACAGAAGAAGTGTTGAAGAATATCGGAGAAGATTTCCAAATCGTGTAATCCCCTATAGAGAAACAGGCAAGTTTTTCAGTAACACTCGAGAACGTGCTATTGCAATCAGGGCATAAGATGAGGAACTTATTTCGAATACAATTGAAGGCGATCGACCCACATATTAGTACTAGAATTCTCAACAAACTGGTATATCGCAAACTTCTGTGCACCGAGTGATCAGACGTAATCTACTACACCCATATCATGTCCAAAAAGTGCAAGAATTGTTACTAAATAATTTGGTTAAAAGAGTGAATTTCTCAGTTTATTTTACATCAAGGCATTAATTTTCAAAAGAAAATTCTCTTTACTGATGAACTTACTTTACTTTCACCCACACAACTATTACAATTTTACATAACTATCATGAGTATTCCGATGTAAACCCTCATTCAGTAACTCCTCGACATTTCCAATGCGAGATTAAAATAAATGTTTGGATCGGTTTTATTGATCCGTATTTAATCGGTCCAGTTATTTTATCGAATCAACTAAATAACGAAACTTATTTATAATATCTCCAAAACACTCTCCTGGATCTACTTGATGAGGTGCCACTACAACTCAGACAGGAATATTGGTTTATGCATGATGGAGCACCCCTTCATTTTAGTAATATTGTTAGAGACTTTTTAAACCACCGGTATCCAAATAAATGGATTGGAAGAGGAAATAATTGCCCACAAGTTTGGCCTCCGCGATCACCAGACCTCTTTCTCAACAAATGTCACCTCTTTCCTAGGGGAACATTAAAGAGTTTGTGTATTCCTCGACAGTTGCGTCTTGAGCAAAATTGTCAAAATTGTATTACGGGTAAATCCACATTCATTAGATACAATCAGCAGTTATTGGATAGAGTAGACTTCAATTTTCGACGAAGAATAAATTTATGCCTGAGAGGAAACGGTGATAATTTTGAACAATCTCTACTTATCAGTGCAAATTGGATGTTATTTCTATTGTTTAAGTTGTTTGTTTTGCTATTAAATTATTCTTATTCCAACTTTTTTCCTGATTGTCAAGTTTGACGTTTAAATTCATAGCCAACTTTTAAATTTTCGATGATTTTAAATAACAGCTAAAATATTAGTTATTTGTGTTTTTGTTGAAAACTAAAAGTAAAAAAGTTTTAGAATTAAATTCCCGCCAATGGATTAAAAAAATCTGTCACATTTTAATGGTGCACCCCTTATCAATCCTTTAAAATGCTTCAACTGAACTCTACTTACTGTCTATTAATGCTCTTGGTACACTCACATCGGGTACCAAATTTAGTTGTTTGATTTTTTCCAAATTTGAAACCCCACTTTTAAGGTCTAGAACTTCTCAGGGGTACAGCTTAGTATATAGGTAAATTGCGTTAAATCACCATATTTTGGGTTCCCCTACATGCCCTCGCTATGTGTCGGTTCGTATACGAAACACCCTGTATAAAATTATTCTGCATAATAAATTCATTAAATTTGAGATACTGAGGTTTTCAGCAAGTCGACTTAATAAAAACAATCTTTGAAATATTGTTGAAAAATATAAGAAAATCGCAGCAGGTCACGGATTTTATGTCTTAATTGGGGTTGCTTTCTACTTTATGGGTCACACTATATATGTAAAATTTTAAAACATGATCTCTTAAAAGAGACATGTCCCTGCTGCTTATACTTGACCTACATTATTTAAAAACAAAATGTATATTTTTAAAGTAACACAAATGCCACCAGATACCAAATGTCTCGTAAAATATTTGATGATTAATGTAACTTGAGGGTATCTTAACTAAATAAAGATATAAATTTACTTAATGTGATGTAATCATATTTCGCAGTTTCGTTTCTCATTATAACCATCATGTAGTTGAAATTTTCTGCACAATTTGTAGGACATTTAAAGAATTAAAGGTAAACTGACCCTCAGTCGCAGCATCATCGGCTCGCTTTCTTCGCTGTAGTTTTTCGTACTGTGTTGATACATTTTTGAATTGAAAGAGAATTCAAATAAAATAAGAAGAAATGGGTAGAAATATTAAAAGAAAACATAATAAAACAAAGTTTAATAAAAAGAAAAAATTGAGAATTTTAATAGTTCTAGTAAGTATATTATTATATTGATAAGTTTGAAACACATGGTTTAGCGGTAGGGGATCCCAAATGGCCGGCTAAAAGTGGAAAAGAAATATGCTCAGACATTTTTCATGGCCGACATAATATGTCGTGCCAAAAGCTTCTTTCTTGATAATTGATTCATATGAATATGATTATGAAAAACCGACAGCAATATTGGAACATATTGCAATTCAGTTGTTCTCAGATGCTACAATATAGCATGGAAGTGTTATATTCATCAAGAAGCTGCAAATAGATGGTCAGTTTTTTTGAGGTGTGGTGTTGATAAATTGGAACACAAGGAAATTATTGACTAATATCCAGTTTGTGAAATTTGTCTTGTATTTGGTAATTCAACATTATCTGAATGATGTTGCACTTAAATAAGATTATTGTATAATGAAACTGTAAGAACAGTAGCTATTGCTATGCCAGCTAATAAATTTTTTTCTCAACACTCGAAAGTAACGAAACCATAATTCTTATCTTATTTAAGTGATTCTGCAACACTGTTGACAAATATCCATAATTCCATGAGAAAACCCCCATTGAGAAAGTTATCAAGTACAGTTCAATTGAAGAATAGTTATTTGGAAAAACTTGTCAGCAAGACTAAAATTAATCAAAACATAATTAACACATTGACTGCGGTACTCAAAAATGGTATATTGGTAATTAATACTCTACAGGTCCCCGGAGACCGATAACATAACTTTAATATGGTGCGGTACCGGTCGCCGGAGACCGATATACAAAATGCCATTTGAGGCCATCTAATTTTTTTGTTTAGAACCAACACTTAAAAATTGTTACAGGGATGTGTAAATACATCCAACATGAAACTAAATTTTGCTCCGTATCGGTCTCGGGCGACCTACACCGCACCAAATAACATAATAAATTTTAACTCAAAATAAAATTTGTGTAACTTTGTTTATAGGTATTATTTATTGAAAAATGGCAAAATTTATTGTGTTTTATTATAATAATACTAAAAAATGTTACAAAAGTTGTTTTGAAAAATAAAAGTAAGTAATAAAATTAACAAAATTAAGTATGCAGTTTATTAAAGCAAGGAAGACACATGCCTGGTTTATTAGGACAATCCTCGCAAAAACTCGTGACTTTTGAGACTTTATTATTCGCTTCGCGACTAGAAACACCAGTTTTACGTATATCTTCATAGCATCCCTTGCAAAGTTTCCTTTTTTTCCTTCCTGGGCCAGTTGGTTCTACGAAAGTATGAACTCTTTTACGAGCTATTTCAGATGTGGTTTTTGTAGGAGGATCTCTCAACTGTTCTGCTAGGATTTTTCGAAATTGAGTAATTGACATTTTTTTGTTCGAAATTTGATTATAGATAATCCACGCGTTTACAATGCATGTTCCAAATAAAAATTCAAACATAACTTTTCTGTACCATTTCAATCCCCGACGTAATACAGTATGATACGAGGACATCTGGTCGCTAAAGTCTACCCCTTTTTTGGCTTTATTATAGTCGATAACGCATCTAGGCTTCGCAATAATATCGCCCTTCCTGGTTCTCTTTCCAGTATCTTGAACCTCGTTAGTATGCGTAGGATCTGTAGTCAACATAAGAACTGGCCTTTTATCAACCCATTTCAAGATTTTAACGCAGTCATTTTGCTGACCATACGTCTCTCCCTTTTTTATTTTTTTTTTGAAAAGTTTTGGGAATTCCTTTCCGATTAGCGCAAAGTGTTCCACAATAAACAATTTTTTCCTCAAATAGCTTTTTAGCTGCAGGTAGGCTGGTGTAAAAATTATCTGCGAAGAGGTAATGCCCTTCTTTATTTTCCACCGATTTTAGGAGTTCAAATACTATTGTTTCTGAGTGCTGTTGTCCTGCAATTTTTTCGTTTATGCCAGTATACACAATAACTTGGATTGTATAGCCATCAACAGTGCACAACTTATAAATTTTAACGCCATATTTGTGCGATTTATTTGGTATATACTGGCAAAATTGCAATCGCCCTCTGAAAGGGATCATGGACTCATCTATCACGAGAATTCTGCCAGGTGTTAAAACACATTGAAAATTCTTATTTAGTATTTCTAAAGCTTTTCTGATTTTGTGCAGCCTGTCAGCCGTGTCCAAAAATGGATCTTCATTATTGCAAAAATGAAGGCATCGAAGTAAAAGAAGAAATCTGTCACGTGACATGGTGTTTGCTATAAATTCGTTTTTAAACATTGGATCTTTTGACCAATAGGAATTTATCGATGGAAGGGAGTTAAATCCTGTTACCAGAATAATTGAGAAGAAACGCATAATTTCATTTATGTCATTATCTTCCCAAACATGCAACCTGGATTTTGAAATCGATCTACGTTGCGTTAAAGTTTGATGAGCATATGTATTAGTCTCATCAATAATTATTTGCCAAAGATCTTCTGTTACAAAAAGTTTGTATGCATCCAATGGACTTGTAATCTTATTCACATCAAAATTAAATGTGGATGACTCATTACATACCGTGAAAGGTAATTGTCCGAGGGTAATATCACTCCAATTATTGACATCAAGTGCAGCCATTTGGATTTCATCGACATTATCGTCATCTGCGTGTGAATTAGGTATTTCCGTACCATAACTGTCGGAATCTTCACCAGTTTCTAGAAAAAAAAAAAATGATAGTGTTCATCTTTTACAAAATAAACTAAAAGGATTTTTCTAAAACTACTGTAAGAATTTACGTGGGGATAAATATTTTATAATGTGTGCAAAACGGCGTGTCTAGCTCTTTATATGAGTCATAAAACAACTTACCTTCAATTGTGCCATCAAGAACATATTCATTTTGATTATTCTCATCAGAATCTGACGACGGCGACGATGGATAGTAGTTCTTATCTTTTACAGAGTCATCACTTCCGAAATCCGTCCATTCGTCATCACTACCATACTGTGCAAATTTTTGCGTGCATGCACCAGTTGCATCTAGTGGGGCTCTATCTTCTGATGATTCATTTCCGATGTTATATACATTCTGCGTATTGACACTACTTTCGCAGGTAACAAATTCTTTTAAGCTTTCTTGGGACCCATCTAATTGTGTGTTATTCTCAAATTCCTTATTTTCATTGTTACCTTTAGTTTTTGTCATTTCCATCAATTTCATCACACGGGAGGAATACATTTTCAGCACGTAATTAACAGACGACTTGTTGCCACACGTTTTGTGAGACTAATAAAAATAGGCGGGAAAAAACACGTGTTGTCCTATGATTAGGAGAAGGGTATAGGGAGCTGGTAGGTAGGTATGGTGCTGTATAGGTCTTCGGGGACCTATACAGCACCAGCGCAATGAGTGATTATTCTGATGCGGTATAGGTCGTCCGAGACCGATATTATTTTATTATGATATTCAAAAACTGCAACTTATAACAAGTTTTTAGCTACTTGATTCGCATTTCTAACTTTAATATTAACAAAGTTACACATTCCGCACCGTAACCAAGGATGCAAAAAATTATGTCCGCGCCAAGGCTAATTGCGATATCGGTCCCTGGGGACCGATATAGCAGTCAACGTGTTAAAATATGAGCAGAATTAAGACCTCGGAGAGCTGTTACTCGTAACAAATTTAGCGAATTTCAAAATTCCCAAGACTAGTTATTTTAATGTACTATTTCCTCATTCAATGATATTAGGAAGCAAATGTTTCAACGACAGTAGGAGGAACAGGTCTTCTGGCCGGTTAAAAAATTACCTCGGAACCAGGTTATAAATTACATACAATAGTTTAGTTCTGATCTGGATTAAAGAACGCGAAATTTCATTTAGTGAGCTACCTGTTCAGCATTATTTACCTTCAGATATTGGAGAATTTTTGTAGCGTTAAATATTTAATTCCCAAAACTATTTTCTTTGCACTATAGATTTAAAATATTTTAATCAATGTACTGGTTGATTTTAAGAAATATTTGCCTTTTTTGATTTTGAATGGAAACTATATCAGTTTAACAATATGCCTAAGGAATTGTACACCTTATGTTTTTACGAAGTTATTAACCTGCTTGAGAGAGTTAAGTACAGTTTATTTAGTTTATCTGATGACATTTTAGTCAGAAAAAACTCAAACAGACTACATTTAAAAACTTCAGGATTTATAATTTACGCAAATAAGAGAAGTGTAAGTCTTTGGGTTTTAATTTTAATACACGTGATATGTAGTGTCCTTAACAGAAGATAAGAAAGAAAAAATATATTTTATGAATAACAGGTTTATTCAGAATCCATTTTGAGTTTTTTCAAAATATATAGGTGTTGTGATAGCAGCCTTTCTCGCTGTCAAGTTTAATTGCACACACATTAAATTGTTTGAGAGGGCTCAGTATCTTGCTCTTAAGCAAAATAACGGAATTATGATTAGAAGATGGTTTTACGATCTCATTTGAAGAAGAAAAACACAACTGTATTAATTTCATTATGTTAACACAAAAGATAATATTTATGCAGCTTTAGAATCAAGGTCAACATATGTAGACACATAATATAAATTTTCACTAAATTATTTCAAAAAAATAGTTTATTTTTTTGGATACAAAGAGATTTCTCTGCATCGAAACTAAATGCAAAATGTATGCGATATCATTGTATAAGTATTTACTTATACAATGGCGATATGTATCATAGCATCTCAATCCCAACTAGTTTGCGATTGATGCATTTACATTATTTTGGGGAAATAAGTTTTTTTATGCTGTTCCTCCTTTACTCTCATTAATAAAGTATTAAAGAAAATTATTACTTATCGTGCAGAAGGTATTGTGGTTGTTCCTAAAAATTATTGATAATTAAGCCATTAACATTAGGACCTAATGTGAACTTGATATTATCTCTTTTCAGGAAGCCCCATACGCTTTGATAGAATTTTATCCTGTAGGTAGGACTTTTGTAAACCAGAATCGTGTTTAATAGCAATATTTAAATTTTATAGTAGTGTTAAGCATGCAAATGATTCATTATTGGTAACAGATACAAAATCTATACATCTAACTTCACTACAGACTGTAAATGAATAGGTTAAAAGAGCACTGGCAATTAGTGGTATAAATACAAATTTATACGCAGGTTCTAATCCACGAGATGCTGCTGCCTCTGCCACTTTAAAACATGCAGTACACCATTGAGGCAATCAGGAAAGCAGCAGACTGGATGGTTTCAATAACTTTTATAACAGATCACAGTGTAATCCAGTAGACTTGGTAAAAGGGATTAGAATCCTGAGAGTTTGGATTTATGTAATGATGTTAAATATTCATATTAATTATATGGATATAAGACTGTTCTTTATATTTATATCTGTATATTTTCATATATTTTTTTGTTATGAAAAGGATGGATATTTCTTGTTTGTTTTATCATAATGTAAAATAAGAGGTATTAATAAATATATTATAATGTGTACTAAGGGTATGGTATATAGTTAACTAGATCGCTTGTATAAACAGTTTGATTAAACTAATACAACCTACTCACCCAAAGGCCTTCTCTGCAGCGTGATTTACTGGGATGCTTTAAACTACTAAAGATAGGGAGGCCAATAGTGCTCAGACTTACGAGTCAGTTTACCTTTAATTCTTTAAACATTGTAGATATTGTGCAGAAAACTGCAACGATCATGCTTATATAATTATGATCAATATTTCAAAAAATTTTATGTTTTTTCTTTTAAAGTGAATAGTTTTAGAGTTATTTTCTATTCGATTGTGTAATAAGCTTATTTCATACTATATAAATAATAAATCAAAAAATCACTCATTTTTGGAATAAAGTGGAAGAGATTTTTTTCCTTGAAGTACAATTATGCGACTGAAATGAACAATATAGATACCTACTCGGTAGTGTCAGGGATTCTTAGTCAGAGTGTTTTCCAGCATCTCTGAAATATTTGTATACATATTAAATTAATTTTTACCTTTATTTAATACGACGCCAGCTCAAGCTTCATTAATCAACGTCAAACAATTTTTGAGATATGTACTTAGTTGTGTATTTGTGATTTTTTTTCAAAAACTTAAACACCCAATAACTGCCTAAAGTTATTTAATTATGACATATTTTTTTTGCAAATGCAATTTTCAACCAAGATGTATTTGATTCAATTTTTTATTTTGATCTAAAAATTATCTGGTAGCATTTATGCTCCATTGTTTCAATGCACCCTGTATAATGTCATGTAATTATGTACAAATTTTAGGGAAATGAAATATGTGATGAGTACATATGTATACCTGAAGCTTCAACCCATCTTAGTGTCACAACAGTATTAAATTACTGCAAGAATAAAATTTTGAATCCTTATATGCGTTTACTAAGTTTTATGGGTTTGAGACCGTTTATGAACGAAGAACAGGAACCATGTTTCTTTCTACGATTATTCAGCTATATCTATACATTGCAAGTTATGGGATTCATGATCATTGGATACTTTCTTCAGTATATGTCTTGTTTCCGTAGAGACAGAGGATTTTATTACAAGGCAAAAAGTAATAAATCATATTTGACCAACGAATTGAATGTTATATATGAGCACACTTGTGACAGCTCGTTGATTTATAGTTTCATTGTTCCTAGTGCATTGCACCTTGTGGGATACTTACATGCTGTTGTTATCTTTCGGAGTTCTGATGATGATCAACTCCCAGTTCTCATGGAAAGGGTATGTTTTATAATTTAATAAATAATACCAGTTCGGAAAATTCGAAAGGATGTAACTGGATATTCAAGTAATATTTACATCAATCAGAAGCAAATGAATGTTTGAACTTGCCAAGTAATTAAGTCTTTGTCTGACAAGTTAACTCATGGCATACTGTTCTGTACCATATATCCCTTATTATTAGAGATAGAGAGTCCTTGGCATTATTCTATCCGAAAGAATTCCTTTAAACTTGCAAGAAAGTTTATTAAGCTTTACATTATGATAGAACTCCTCAAAATAAGAAAAATAGTTCATTGGCCATTGAACGTTTTGCTTTCAAGACAGAATATTGAAATTATAAAAAATATCTTTCAAGATGTTTGGTGTACACTGATGAAACTTGAGGTAATGACAACTAATTATATGCAAAAATTATTGAACAAATGTGTCTAGTGGCAGATATACAGTAGAATCTCTATAATCCGGCACTTCACTACACCGGCACGTCCAGTAATCCGGCGTTATTTTTTCCGCGTTTGTTTACTATCCTTGAAGAATACAGTTTATACAGTTATAATTTAGTTGAAAGATTATTTTACAGAAACATAAAAACATTACAATATACATATACAGAGTGAGTCAGAAAGAATGGGTCAACACTAAACTGGAGATATTAGACACCAAAATATTATGTTTGAGCTCATCATGCCTTATACGAATATCGCTGGTTTAAGAAATACAAGGTGTTCAATGTTTCAATTTGATTCTGAAATTTCTCAATATCTGAGAAAGTTTTGATAGCATAACTCTGAAACTTGCTAGTGTTGGGTTTTTTGGTATGAGAATTACGAATTTGAAGCTTATTTTGGCGTTGCTCCTAGAGGGCGCTAGTTTCACCATATTATTTAGGTAAATCGGAACATATTTTTTTTATCTGTTGAGCTATGCTTTAAAATCTAAAAGAACGTTCAATTCTACATAAAAATTGTACCCTTGTTTAGGTCGCCTACCTTTATCGGTTTCTGAGTTATTTGCATTTAAAAGTTTCAATGTATTTTGCGGTGATTTTCTTTCAGACGCTTATATTGCTATTTCTTTTCTAAGTAGGCTTGTGTCAAATTTTCATGTCAATAAATATTAACGTATTTTGCATGTGTCTGATTTATTATTCGTGCAAAATTATTAGCTAGTGATCAAAAAATGCCATGGCAATAATTTTTCTAACAGTGAGATGCATGATATGATTTGTGTTTTTGCTTAGGTTAATTTTAATCAACATGCGGCGGCCCGAAGATATGTGCAATTGTACCCAAATAGATTACCTAATTATAAACTATTCAGAAATCTTTGCAATCGCTTAGGTGGATCTGGACCTTTTCGACCGAAAAGTAACCATGATACTCCAAAATCTATCACAGTCGATGAAGAAGAGAAAATTTTACTACTCGTACTCATCGGTTAAGTGTGGCAACGGGGGTAAGCCAATCGTCCATTTGTAGAATTTTTGAAAAAAGAAATGTTCCATCCATGTCATTATACTCCGGTTCATCAGTTATTGTCTCAAGATTTACCAGCTCACCTACAATTTGCTCAGTTTATACAAAATATGCAAACGGAAAACCCAGATTTCCTCAATAAGATTTTATTTACTGATGAGACGACATTTACTAGACGAGGAGTTTTCAATTGGCAATCATTTGTGAGATTTCACATGCTGTAAAAGTAAGTCATTTTCAGCATAAGTTCAAGATGAATATTTGGTGTGGTTTAATTTTTGTTTTTTTTTTTTCATAGGACCTTTTGAATTGCCACCCAATCTAACTGGACCTCATTATTTAAATTTTCTTCAACATAATTTAAACGAGCTTCTAGATGATGTACCACTCGCTTTAAGAGAGAGTATGTGGTTTATGCACGATGGTGCACCATCATATTTTGCCTTGCCAGTATGCCAGTATTTAAACAAACATTTTCCTCATCGGTGGATTGGCCGTGGGAATGAATTTAGTTGGCCACCAAGAAGTCCAGACTTAAACCCTCTGGACTTCAAAGTGTGGTCAAACTTGAAGAATGTGGTGTATCGTGAAGAAATTAATTCTGTTGATGAGTTGCGACAGAAAATACAAGTAACCGCGAATGCGTTTAAAAATAATAGGGACATTTTGTTTAATATTCAGACATTTAAGAGTGTAAAATAAAATGTATTGAGGTAGTTGGTGGAAACTTTCAGCATTTGATTTATGGTTTGTTATTATTACTATTATCAATAATTCTTGTTCTTATTTTCATCTTTCGAGAATAAAAAATCACCACAAAATACATTGAAACTTTTAAATACAAATAACTCAGAAACAGATAAAGTTAGGCGACTTAAACAAGAGTACATTTTTTATGTAGAATTGAACGTTCTTTTAGATATTTAACTTTTTTAAAGCATAGCTCAACAGATAAAAAAAATTTGTTCCGATTTACCTAAATAATACGCCCTCTAGGAGCAACATCAAAATAAGCTTCAAATTCGTAATTCTCACACCAAAAAACCGAACACTACCAATTTTCAGAGTCATGCTATCAAAACTTTCTGAATTATTGAGAAATTTCAAAATAAAATTTAAACTTTGAACACCCTGTATTTGTTAAACCAGCGACATTCGTATAATGCATGATGAGCTCAAACATAATATTTTGGTGTCTAGTATCTCCAGTTTAGTGTTGACCCATTATTTCTGACTCACCCTGTATATGCATACACAACTGTAATATGTATGTATCTATGTACCAATCTCTTTGTTAATAAACAATTAAAAGTAACGTTTTTTAATTTAATATACATATACATTTTCCATTAATCCGAACTTTTCAGTACTCCGGCACTCTTAGGTTTTTAATGGTGCCGGATTAGTGAGATTGTACTGTATTGGGAAATACAGTCACTAGGAACTCTAGAATTTCTCATTTTTCAAATAAAATGGAAGACATCTTTTTTCTTAGAAACACTAATTGGAATTAAATGCAGTTGTTAGCTCAAATTTCATCATTCTATGTTAAACATTTTAAGAGATATTTAAATGTGTTCTACTTATATTTATATATATATAAGTATTTTATTCATAATTTTGAGATACTTTGTTATCAGGTAAAGTTTGTGACACAATTAAATTTTTTTTTAGGTATTTCTATCATCTACAAATTTATCAAGTGGTTTTATAAGCCAAAAGAAGCTGGTAAAAACTCTCTGGCTATTTGTTGTATTCAGTGTCATTTGGGTGATTTTGTCCCTAGTATCAATAATTTGCATGTTAGCTGAAGGAGAAATTAGTTTTAAATGGATGGAAAATAGGTAAACTTAAATTATACAGGAAGTTCCATAACTTCAAGTCATAAACTCGGGAATGTGTAGATGAGGTCAAAATAATGTCAGTAATTTATGGATCTTCATTATTAAATTAGACTTTTTAAAGTTGAAATAAAAATTATTTTTTGTTTATTCATCTGCCATCCGGCTGAATGAACATTTTTCAGGTCAGTGGCCAAGATACCCTTTTCCAATGGTCTCTAAGATCACGGAACTTGAATTCAATCGATCCTTTTTTAAATTAGGGGTACATTAAAAGTATTGTATATGTCTATGGTTAATGTCAAAGAGCTTATGCAAAGAATTATAAATTCTGCAAATGGCATTAAGAAACTGTGCTGTATTTAATATGTGCAGAAGGATACAAGTCTATATATTATAAGGGGGTGATTCCTCATCGAAAAAAAGATAGGATCTTTCATATAAAGAAACTTCAATGAAGCATCCCTTCTTAAGATACAGCCCCTTAAAGGGGGTACATAAAATTTGTTTAACAATTTTTTTCACAAGCACTAAACAAGTTACAATATTGAAATTAACCTGACATTTTCTACTACCAAAAAGACACTTAGCCAGTAATTTATTTGGTTTACCCCATGGTAGTAAGGGGTGGAAAACGCAACCCCTAAAATTTATTTCCAACGTAATTTTTTGTCTTATTATTTTTTTACCATTTAAAAATTTATTTCCGATAGCCTGTTTCATTCTAAAAAAAAATGTCTCTTGAATTTTTTGCCCAAATTAAACCAGTTCGCAGTAAAAAATTATTTTACGAACAACTACAGAGATACATCGTCATAAATGCGGACTGGATTTACTGTTATTTTGTAGTTACTACCTGCATTAAATGATTAAAGGGGAATAATCAAAACTAATTTA